TATACTGCACGCCTAACTGACCTCCACACAAACAGGCACAGAAACAGCTGTTTCTGGTGTAAAGCATTGTAACAACCGATGAAGAGATTCTCTCACTGATGTTGACCTCTGACACAACAATATCCTCCAGACACGTACACAGACTAGACGCTGACGTGGGATTGTTTGTCTCTGTGATGACATCAGTTTTGCAGTCAGTATCTTCACAAATACCCCCGTCGCAGCAAACATGCATACCAAGCCAATTTCCATCTCTCTGATTGGATTTAAATAGAACTGAAATATCCATTATGTCCGATCTATTCCCTTTTTAAAAGGGGGGAGTGAGCTTAGTGGTTAGAGTGCTAGACTTCAGTCCCGGGTTCAAATCCCACCAAATCACCAATGGATTTCATCTAAGTGATAATGCCGCAACCCCTAGGTCTAGCCTGAAGTAATGTGAAAAACAATCCCAGGCTCGTGCCTAGCGTCTTCAAATAATCCCTTTTTAAATAACTTTGTGTTTGACAAACATTCAGGTTTGCTGCTACATGTTAAGAAAGGGTGTTTTTGGTGCATTGTTAATAGTGTGTTATAAAATAATGACATTGCTCAGTATGATTAAAGTATATAAAAATATACATGGAGGCAACTATTTTACTAACTTGAAAATGTTAAATGTATGCACTTTTTTATATATCCCCGTAACCAGCGTAAAAACGCTTAAATGAACTAAATAATTTACTTTTTAAAGCTTTACAACATAGTTTAGATAGAAATTATTTTTTTTAAAGGTCTAAAATGGGAAACCCAATTTTCACTCTCCAACCAGCAAACCTCCCCAAAACCCCTCTTCTCTTAGTCCGACCTTGAACTCATTCTGTGCTCTAAAGGTTTGCAAACTTAATCAAGTTCATCCAGTGCTTAACGTCCGTGCAAAATTTAATCAAAATGGGACCACAATTACTCGAATTATCGTGTTCACGGACACGTAGTGTAAAAAATTTGAACGAATAGGAACACAAAATCTATAGTGTAGTAGTGTCTATAGTTTTGGACATCAAAATAGAAAGGTAAAAAATTCCCATGTGTCTTACGAAGCAACCTAGGGCAATATAGTGCTAGGTACTTCCCTGTAGGGGAAATTCACTATTAAATGTTTACAAAATGTAAACTTTATAATACGATTTGACAGCGACGATGTAGCAAGGGAACTACACATTGTAATGAGTCATTGTACACTATGACGTGGAAGTCGCTAATAACCCAAATACACACCTCACTACGGCGACATTGTGTATGTGACGTTAGGTCTTATGGCAACCATCCACGCGACCACGATGATAATTGTAGAAATCACGCTGAAGTGTTCGCTAATCATTACACCACGTACATGACGTAGTTTCACATGACAAGAGCTTTAACCTCCGTCCCGTGATCGCAGTGACGTAGTTCGCTAATCGTTGTAGGCGCCGACTATCTCAATTACGTCTAACCTCCATTGATAACAAGACAACCACGTAGGCCTACCCGTCAGTGAAACGTACAGGTGTTCCGTCAGTAACGAACATCGACACTTCTGTTTATGTATATTCAGAAATTGCATCGGTAAAATTTGATAATTAAATTACCAACGTCATTACAAATAATTTTGGACATTTAGCTTACTCGAACGATATCAAAACAGAAACAAAAAGCTGCAAATATGATCTTGAGGGTCCAAAGAGCGTTTGAAGGCTAGAATAACACAAATAGTGACATAAAATTCACTATCGTGAGCGTTATCATCTGTTGTTGTGATAGCACTCGAGAAACTCGCTGAAAACAACTTTATGATAACGGGCTAATTACAAGCTTAATTGCAACTTTAGTAGGCAAATGAACTAAAATATTGAACATTCGTTAATTAGTTTGAATTTAAAATTCTAGCTTGGTAACTTTTGATTTAATTAGCACGCGATGCACGTCAACTGACGCCAAGTCAATACCATTCATACTTTCCCTCCGATATTTTCTACAGAATACTTTGAAATTACTGTAGCAGACCCTGTGGTCGGCACATTCTACGTTATATTCCATTCCAAACAAAAAATGTTATAGTTGGTTCACATAAATGGGGATGAGTACCGCATATCTATAAGTAGCCTGACCTTTGTTTTAGTTGATTTTAAAATAGGGAAATCGTCAATGTTTATCATTCAGGAGAAAAGTTGCAGGAATATTTCATACCTCCGTAAATAGAATGCGTGTGTAAGTATACTACAGTAGTCATTTTAGGGGTCCCCTAATTAGTTCACCTTTAAAACTATTTTTGTCAAATATAACGATAAACTTACCAACAATAATTGATTGCCCCTGGTAAAAAATAGTATATATAACACTATGGGCCTATAAGATACCTTAAAATAAAATTAAAATAAAGAATAACGTAGCCGGGAATTTTTTTTTTTATTAAAAAATCTTATAGAATTAAAAATATATTTGCAAATTTCAAAGTGAATGGTACTGCATTATCTAATAACAAGATAAAATCTAGAAAATGCGTAACATAGTGGCATCCCCATTTTAAATAATTGATATAATTGATAATAATTTGTATAGGATTTACATGACTAAAAATATTTTGTATTTTACCAATATAAACTGAGATTAGCAGCGTACGTATGAATCTTATTTAACTGATAGCAATAACTGTTCTCAAAAGTAATCAAAAACAAAAAAATGTATGGATAAAACGACACGTTTTCAACAGCTGAATGACGATTGCCTTTTAGCTAAGTTGCACGATTTCCATTATCAAAGGTTCATCCTAGGTCACATTCAGTGAATATTTCTGTTATCTTGCAGTAATGCCAAGGCTTTGTGATAAGTGAAGTGCATCTTGCAAACTCTAGGGGTTTTTACTGGCGGAAGTCAAGGCTGCTAACCATGTTTCTTTGAATGAACAACTGATTATTTTTATTTCTAGGTTCTATTCGAACTTCAATTAGATTAATTAAGTATTAGCTTTGGTCATTGATATAACTTGATTGACATTCGGTCCCTCATATTTAAGCTGTCGCAAATGTTTTAAATTAAAATCGACACTAAAGTAAATTACTAATTTCTGTCGCTTATACGTGAATATTTGGATCAATTCAACCTGAATGACTACGTATTGTTAGCTATGTCATATTTTATGTCGTCAACTATCTAAATAACAAAATAATTAAGGGAAAATAGAGTTTTAGACACAACACGAACTGTGAATTATTAATTAGCCTATATTTTTTTTAAATAGAAACAACTGGAAACAGCTGGTCCACACAGATGCCTTTCTACTTCAGTACCCGGCCTGAAGTTTCAGCATCCAAAATTAATTATATCAGTATTGACTTCAAAGGTGTAAAATCCATTTTTTGTGTTCTATTACTATGCTGTGTTTATGTACAAATTTACTAACTTTTCATTCAAGTAGACAAACTAGAATACAGGTAGTTTTTGGATTAGCCTATCAGAGTGTGTGCTATTGACGAAGGTTTATGTCCTTTCAATTACGAACAGATAAGCCTACGTATTGCCAAAATATAATTGTAGTTAGCCTAAGTAATAGCATTCACTTCTACTGTGTACATTTTTTAAATAGGCTATGAACCAGTTGTAGAGAATTTTCCATTCAAATTCAACATCGTTGAAAGAGACAGTGACAAACAAAAAAGCCGACAAGCATAAAATGGTGTTAACTAACTTTGCCCGAAGTAGAATAAATCTCATCATGTTAAATTTTAAAAGTAGAATCAACGTGTTGGCCCAATTGTGTTTATTGCAAGCAGAATCCTAAAATAAAATGTAACAGCGTATAAATGACTTGCAAGAGATCGTTTGGCAAGCGCCTGTTTATTGAGTTGTATCCGTGCTATTGTGTATTGACTATTGGGGCTATTGGTAGCAGATCAGGTCTAATGATTCACCGTAGCTGACTCACTGTTTTGCCACTACGAAATACGAATATAGGTAATATAGCTTCGGCATGCCCTTCCACAACGGATAATAGTAAAATAGCATGCCCATGTTTTTACCATTTTTTAAATTTGTGCTCTAAAAACACAAATTGAATTAAGTAAATGCGGAAAAATTGTCGCTCAATGTGGCGGGGAGGAAGACGTCATCACCAGCGGCAGTTTTTCCTCATTTACTCAGGTGTTTTAGAGCACAAATTATAAAAATTATACTCTATATTGTTTTAGCACAAAATAAGCACCAAATCAAGGATTTGCTTTTATAATTTGTGCTCATTATGGTGACGCCACCTTCACGCGTGTGCGCTGCTGTTAATCACGGATTTGTGTCATCTTAGCCAATATTTTTACCAAGTCAAACTGATAGGACAACTACAGTAAACTATAGAATATCTTATAACCCATCAATTACCAAAATATCGACACCTAAATAGAGAAAAGAGAATTTAACTGCAGTGAATTTTGTGAGAGGTCCTTTCAACTATGCTTAATGTACATGAATTGTCTTCAGCTGGTCCATTAATTGGATGTCTATTTGTCTACCCTTGTGAACCCCATGCTACCCCATGGGCACAGGGGCGTGTGCGTGGAAAGTATCCAGCAAAGCAAGGGGTTAGCTGGTACTGTACAAGGGTGAACTGTACTGACAAAAAGTAGTGGCAGGTACCAGGATCAAAACCCACGATATCGCTGCTTTTGGCCCGAAGTTCGTGACGCTACCGACTGAGCCTCCGATTCACCTAATTTCTATTCAGATAGAATACACGATGTTGAACGAGTCACTCACATGGGTTGCTACTGGCGAAATAGTCATTTCCTGCCTTATTTATTGCTAATATGTCAGTTGCTGTGACTTAAAATGCGAATGTTTACAACTAGTAGCCCTTTAGGTTTGGCAAACGCAAATTGTTGGGGAACGCAGTTCAACGCATACGCATACTCCTAACATGCTTCTTCAACAGCAATGATTGCTGGGGTCCACACAATACCAATAGAACCAAGCGCTTATCACAGTACACTGACCTCCAGAGGAGTTGGCCAGAGCAACCTCGGTACCGCGTTGGCCAGCCGCCGAGGTGGTGAGCAGGACGAGTACAATGATGACGACCAGTACAAAGTGCCATCGCCACGAAACGTCGTCGCCGCTTCCGTAACACGTACTCGAGCGGCTCCCTGAAACACAACACACAAACATAACTAATTTATCAAGTCTATTCCAATGATATTATATTCTAGGCTATACATTCCATTACTGGCCATAATCGATAAAGTAAACCCTTAGACTAGATACGAAGGAACTTTCCAGTAATATACTACCATCTTTGACTATTGGATACTGAAGTTTTATCAATAGTCAAAGCTACCACTGTATTTTGTAAGTAACAATACACAATTGAAGTAGCCTATTAACTTATGTCTTGGTTTAGTTCTAACTAAAACAAACTCAATCTTAAGTAGCCCTAATCATAAACAGGATTTGAAGATATGTATAAAACTTCAACATTAAAAAACATAGTAATGGTGAAGAAGACAACCAGACACTCGGGTGCATATTCTAAGGTGACGATGAGAGAAGGACGATTGATAAATGAATTTGATGACAGGTTTTAAAGATCAACTGGTTCTTTATGTACAGTTTTGAACCGTTAAAATATGTTGGCTTTTCTCAAGATTGAACCAGCGACCTGCAGTAAGGCTGGCTTTTATCAACGAAAAAAGGATTGATGTCAAATTATGAGAAAAATGGTTGGCAAGTTTTTCTCTTTTAGGTTGTTCAAATTTAACTAACGTACATTTCTTGATGTGGAAATGAAAAGTAAATGTGTGGGTTAAAAAGATTTTCTGGAGAAAACTTTTGAGTTTATAGCCTATATTCATTAATGTATTGTTCGTCGAACTTAAACTCACAAAACTCCAAACTGGCATTCAGCCTTCAAAGATTGTACCTTTGATAATGTACAGAACTTTATTCGGGATATAAATGGAGAGTCCTAAAAGGTCGTTTAAATCTGTAACAAAACACAACTGGAATTTCCATAATTATGTATATCATTATACGTACTGTATACATATTTATTATTAATAATTCATTAAAAATTTGCAAAATGAACCTCAGAAAAGTCGGTAGCTTTTTCAAATCTCAAAATCGGAAGATTAAAAGACGACTCGGCAACAAATATTATTTGCAAATAAATCAATTTTACCAACCCCACACAAGCAGGACGTACCACTGGTATAATGTACAAAATAAATACTCATGTGAAAGCAAGTTTACTTACTAGATCAGCAAGTGTTGCTCAAAACATAATCGAATAGCACTGATGATGCAAATATTAAGCCTATTAGCTACATCCATGACTTTGTAAATTTTTCGGCGAACAATTAAAGATACAGCAACACAAATAAGCTTATGGATCTTGTTGACGAAAGTTATAATAACGTTTCTAAGAAATGTTACGCAATATTTCGTCACAGGTTTGTTAATGTCTAAATTGATCTGTATAACGCAATATTGTTACACTTTTCATAAGGGTGATATTATTTTACAATACTACGATTTTACTATTGGATTTCAGATTGTTGTTGAATTTAATCTAAAAAGAACGAGATGTGCTCAATTATTAGTTTCCATGTAATTTTCTGCGGAAAGAAATGCAACACTAGACACACAATTTTTAGATATATTTTATAACTGCGATTCTCAACATTGATCAGATCAGTTGCTTAGTTAGAAACATCGGAATGTAATATAAATAACCCTTATATGTACTCGTTGGTCCAATGCTTATAACAACTACACAATAATTTCATGTTAACATATTGAAACCTATGAAAACGTGTACGTGAATATTATTATTGAATTACACTACAACCATTATTGGATACAGAAGAGTCAAAGCTACAACGTTGATGGTAAAAATTCAGTAAAATACGAGTAGTTTTTTAAATGACTTGATTAACATCACACGCGCCTGAGAAGATGCTACACAACAAAACACGTTCAATATGAATGGCAGGTAACGGCTGCTCCAGTCAAAAACTTCCCCTTTCGTCAGCAGAATCACACGATATTTCACATTGAAGTTCAACAAGAAGAGAAGAGATAAGTTTTGTAATACTAAATAAAATAAAATAAACATTTCGAACTAATTAAAAACGTTGAATTTATTATCAGTGCTATCGTAGTTCACAACCTAGTTAATCCTAGTTGAAATGTACAGTATTCAAACTGCACAATTTTATTCCATAAAACTGAGGCATTTCATATTTTGGGATAACTCCTACAATAGGTGATTATTATAATTGGCAAAGCGGTTTGACGTTTTTACGCGAGAAACTGAGATATACTGTATCGATTTTCATTTTAGGATAAATCCTGTACGGTAGTTAGGACCTGCAGCACCATTCACAACCTATTTGAAGCCAAATTGATACGTACCTCATTAAAGTATTTCCGAATGTTTTACACGACAGAACCGGCAATGCGGCTAACAACATATCTTATCCCAGAAACTGATAAATGTCCCGTATTGTGTATAAATGCCACGATAGCTGACCCTGCCGACTACAGACAGCACGATCCCGATCCTATTTTACTTATTAAAATATTAAATTTCCCAGATCGGGGATAAATCCCACGATATTTGACACGACCGGCAGCGCAGTTCACAGCCCAGATCTTCCTCGCCTCCCCCGCCGCCACAATAATACCCCCTTTGCCCCCTGTGATAGAAAACCGATGACCCATTTGTGGTGAAAGTCAGGCGCTAGGCCTACGCGGCGCCGGTTGCGTGGGTTATGGCTCGACTAGCATCTAGTAGACCGCAATGCGCGACGTAATCCCTAATAAGGACATTTTCATTAATCGTAGTGTCATTATGTCCTCACTGGTGTGCTTACATGTAACTTAACGGATCAGCTAGTCTGATATATATATATATTTTTTTTTTTTTTTTGTAACAAGGCATTGTATGGCTTTGGTAGTCATTGATGATAGTGCAAGATGTCAATCTGTTATTAATATAAACTTCAGCGACCTTTGTCAAAAATAGCTGTTGTAATATGCGTTAAAATGTTTGAGGGTAAAATCCTAATTTTCAAAACCATAGATTAGGCCTAACTATAACGTATAGAGGTAGTAAAAATTCTTATTTTTTACTAAACGTAGTTTTTTGGACAGAAACGTTATCTGTCCACAACTATTTAAAATGCAAGTAAGTTGTAAGGGATATAAGACGTGTTTTGCCCAAATATGAATAGCAGATTAGTGGAATGAGGAATAGTAGGATGCATAGCTTACTGACTATCAGCTGTATTTTGCCTGGGCCATTAATTACAATCTGAAACAAGATAGCTGGGTCATGTCTCGTAAACTTGTTTATCGTCGGTTTCATAATAAAGAGGGGTTCTACCAGTCAATAGACTGTACTGTCTTCCAAAAAAGGCGGGTACTAAGTAGTACAGTAATTTGTTTCGGGCAAAATACGGACACCGAGATAGAAAATAGGGTAGAAATTCACTTACAGGCTGCGACGAACAAACCTAACGCAATGTTGGCTCTAGTCCAACCGTCCAGCGGCACAGCTTTGATCAGACCATGTTTATATGAGACTACCAGACTGGTTATGTGTCATAGTATAGTGCATTGTGGGATAAAGCGGGATTTTCATGTCAACGTCAGCCATGTTTTCTAGCTTAATTGAACACCAAAGAGCTGACCTATGGTAAATGTACACTGTGGAATAAGAGTTATTTATGTCACTTTTCAGGCTGGATACAGTTTATTTCTCTGCAACTGTTATTTTAGAAAGCCAACCAATCTAGAGACATGCAGTAGTAGAGAGTATACCATTCACATTCCAGACTCCTGGCTGCTGAGTGCTGATACAGTTAATTTATCTGTATCTGTTCCCCTACAAGACCAACAAATCTGGAGACATGCAGTAGTAGAGAGTATACCATTCACATTCCAGACTCCTGGCTGCTGAGTGCTGATACAGTTAATTTATCTGTATCTGTTCCCCTACAAGACCAACCAATCTGGAGACATGCAGTAGTAGAGAGTATACCATTCACATTCCAGACTCCTGGCTGCTGAGTGCTGATACAGTTAATTTATCTGTATCTGTTCCCCTACAAGACCAACCAATCTGGAGACATGCAGTAGTAGAGAGTATACCATTCACATTCCAGACTCCTGGCTGCTGAGTGCTGATACAGTTAATTTATCTGTATCTGTTCCCCTACAAGACCAACCAATCTGGAGACATGCAGTAGTAGAGAGTATACCATTCACATTCCAGACTCCTGGCTGCTGAGTGCTGATACAGTTAATTTATCTGTATCTGTTCCCCTACAAGACCAACCAATCTAGAGACATGCAGTAGTAGAGAGTATACCATTCACATTCCAGACTCCTGGCTGCTGAGTGCTGATACAGTTAATTTATCTGTATCTGTTCCCCTACAAGACCAACCAATCTGGAGACATGCAGTAGTAGAGAGTATACCATTCACATTCCAGACTCCTGGCTGCTGAGTGCTGATACAGTTAATTTATCTGTATCTGTTCCCCTACAAGACCAACCAATCTGGAGACATGCAGTAGTAGAGAGTATACCATTCACATTCCAGACTCCTGGCTGCTGAGTGCTGATACAGTTAATTTATCTGTATCTGTTCCCCTACAAGACCAACCAATCTGGAGACATGCAGTAGTAGAGAGTATACCATTCACATTCCAGACTCCTGGCTGCTGAGTGCTGATACAGTTAATTTATCTGTATCTGTTCCCCTACAAGACCAACCAATCTAGAGACATGCAGTAGTAGAGAGTATACCATTCACATTCCAGACTCCTGGCTGCTGAGTGCTGATACAGTTAATTTATCTGTATCTGTTCCCCTACAAGACCAACCAATCTGGAGACATGCAGTAGTAGAGAGTATACCATTCACATTCCAGACTCCTGGCTGCTGAGTGCTGATACAGTTAATTTATCTGTATCTGTTCCCCTACAAGACCAACCAATCTAGAGACATGCAGTAGTAGAGAGTATACCATTCACATTCCAGACTCCTGGCTGCTGAGTGCTGATACAGTTAATTTATCTGTATCTGTTCCCCTACAAGACCAACCAATCTGGAGACATGCAGTAGTAGAGAGTATACCATT